TACAGATATCCCCTTGAATTCTTTGCAAAAAGGTTGGGATTCAACATTGATTTTTGTGGGAGATGATCTAATAATAAATTTTTCTTGTGAACAAGCAGTACATGGGTTATCAATAGAAAAAACAATCTCTTGATTTTTTTACCGGATGTCCATATGAGTTGTTGATGATTTGATGCATCATTATTGACCTAAAGTGACCAAGTCGGTCATTCCAAAGTATAAAAGTCTTTGGATTAGAGAGTTTTTAGCTCATCACATTATTTAATTCAATTGTTCTTATGTACAATACAACCTAGAGGAGAAAGCAGAAAGTTTTTCTAATATAAGCTTTAGGGTAGAAACAATTGAAGTAATAAAGAGGTATTCTCCATTATTATCATTCATACTCTTATTATGAAATATGTTGAGTATACAATTTTGCATAATTTTATGTCTCACAACAATCACTTTAGTTTTGCTCGTTAATTATATGTTTCATTTTAGTTGAGTTTGTGATTTATGAGGAAACCGTGTGTTTACAGGCAATCCGGTGTAAATATGATGCTTTACACTCATTTGAATGCTTTTGGGGAATTTTAAAAAAAAAACTAAAACAAGTGGACTTGAATCAAGAGCATTGCAGCAAAAAAACATAAAAACAACAGTTGTACTGGTAGAAGTTATACCGGTTCACCGGGCAGCATATATAGTTTGTCCTTGTGCAACATAAATGTACTATTTCATTTCTAAACAGAAAGTTTTCTATCGGATCATTTTTCCTGCTTTCTCTACCAATTCATCGGCTAGCAGAGAAGACTTGTACCTATTCGTCTGTATTTTTCTATCGGTACAAGTGAGAAAAACGAGAAAATGGGATTTTTATTTTGGAATTTTAATTGGCCAAATATCAGAGGTATTTTCAGAGATTTTTCAGGAATGAGAGAGACATAAAGAAGGAAGGAGAGGATTTCTATCATGAGCCCCTTCTTCTTCTTTAAAAACCGAAACATGGGAGAATCCAAAACATCTTCTTTTACGGTTTCTTCTAGGGTTTTTCTTCACAAAGTATAGATTAGTTTTATCTTTTTTCCTTCTTCTTTAGTTTAAATACAAAAGTACTTTTGATTTCTAGTTTTTGCATTAATCTTTCGTTCTTGTTTGGATTTAATTCTGTTTTTAATATAATTTTTTTTTCATTCAAATTGATAAGTCTTTCTTAATTGCTTTTAATTCTACACGCAATTTGTATGAGTAGTTTAATTCCAGCATAATTAGAGAAGAGATTCTCATCCATGAATGTTTGACCTTAACGAGATATCAATGCTTAGAGTTATTTTGTTGATTGAAATAATTAATTTTGAACACATGACTAATTTGTAAACATCTTTGATTAATCGTAGACAATTGAATTGATCTGGTAGTTCTTGGATTCCCTACAGTCAACATGATACCAATTCTTTCATTAATTAATTTTTTCATCAAAATACATGTTTTCTAAATTTTGATTTTAGTTGAATATTTTCAATCTGAGTAAGTTTGATTACAATCATGGATGAGTTATAAATCAGGTTAAAATTCTTATTCCTATTCATGATGGGATGAAATCTCACAATTAGTTGGTTTATTTAAATATTGTTTCTTAGTCTTGCCAATCATCATTGTCTTTGAAAACTAAAAGATTTTATTTTTGTTTAGATCATATTAGCATTCGAATTTGTCCTTGTTTCCCTATGGAGACGACCTCCGTATTTTTCGAATTACTATATGATCGAATTTTCTACGCTTGGGAAACAATTTTAGACATAACTATATTAGAGGACAAGTATTTTTGATGTTGTTGCTAGTGGGAAGCAAGCGGTATGAATTTGAAAAGTGATTTGAATCAACGACAGGTAAGTCTTATAAGAGTTTTTTGGGTGCAGGTATATTTTTTTAGACATATTTGAAAGAAAGTGTATAGATAAATATTTTACTCTATTAAGTTCAATTTTAATAAAAATATTTTTTAATTAGATACAAAATTCAAATGACATTTAAATTTTTTTACTAGCTTACCCTTCCTTAAATTATGCATAATTATTATTCTTTCACTCTCTCTCTCTCATTACTCTCCACTCTCCCTTCCCTATTTTTTCTCTATCTCTCCTTCCATTACTCTCTCACTCTCTCCACTATTTTTTTCTCTCTCTCTCTCATTGATAATTTATTTTCTTTTCAAAATTTAAATATTTAATTTGATTTTTTTGTCTCTCTTTCTCACCCCTATTTTCTCTCTCTCCCCCTATGTTCTCTCACTGTTACCCTCTCTCCTTATTCTCTTTATTTATATCAACGTTACACTAATCAGTTACAATTGTCTTATACATCAAACAGTTACTCATGTGTTATGATAAACAAATAGTACACCAAATAATCACACAAAATTACGATATCAACTCAATTTGTCATTCAGTTGTTTAGATAAACCAAATAATTAAACTATTTAGTATCACGACATGGTTGCACTAATTATATACACTAAATTTAGTGTAATGATAAACTCTTTTGTGTAATGATAAACCCATTTTGGCGTTTATAATTAGTGTAATCATGTTGTGATACTAAATAATATAAATTTTTAATTTATGTAAACAATTGAATGATGAATTGAGTTGGTGTTGTAATTTTTTATGTAATTGTTTGATGTTACTGTTTAGTTTATTAGAACACACGAGTAATTGTTTGATGTATTATAGCGTAATTGTATCCAATTGGTGTAATTGTGTTGTTGTATCATTGATATAAGAAAAGAGAGAGAAATAAAGAGAGAAATAGTAACATTGAGAAAAAATAAGGGGAGAGAGAGACTGAAAGAGAGAGTGAGAGAGAGACAGAGAGAGAGAGAAATTAGGAGAGAGAGATAAAATATTTACATATATGAAAAGAAAATAAATTATAAATGAGGGGAAACTGTGAGAGAGAGAGAGAGAGAAAATAGGGGATAAATAGATAGAGTAATGGGGAGAGAGAGAGAGAGAGAGAGAGAGAGAGAGAGATAGAGAGAAAAAAGGAAGAGAGAGCGAGAGAGTACTTGAGGGAGAGTAATGGAGTAATAAATGATCTTTTAGTCTTTTTTCAAAAAAAAAATACATTTAAAATCAAATAAGTTTTCTTAATATAGTTTAACTCAATTAAGTCTAAATTTTTATATCGACTTCCAAATTTTTCGTCTTATAATTTTCATCATAGGCCCAAGTACATTTTTCCATTGTAAATTACTTTAGAAATTTTCTTTTACTTATAGGATCATAGTTTTTCATGTGGGTACACGATAATACGAATAATAGACTTGTTAAACTTGACCAAATACCAAACATGAACGTGACGAGATAAATAATGACAACCCACAAAATCTGAGGAATGGTGACAAGAATCTCCCAATTGTTCCTCCCGTGTGAATGTTGAGAGATTATCTCCAACCCACACGATGCACCATATTTGCATACTTTTGCCCGTGCAAGCACATACATTCATAGTTAAGTTGGGTATGCTCCAATTATTCCCTCAATTTCAGGGTGTAGATAGAGTAGATAGAGAAAACCCTATCGAGGAATTTGAGGAAGTAGTTAGTACATTTCTCAATCAAAATGTGTGAGAGGAAATTGCTAGGATGAAGTTGTTTCCCTTTTTCCTTAAGGATAAAACAAAATCTTGGTTTAATTTTTTGAACCCTCAAACAATATCTTCATGATTTGATATTCAAAAAGAATTTTTAAAGGAATTTTTTCCAGTACATAGAACTACTGTTTTGAAGAAACAAATTCAGAAAGAGAAATTGAATAGTTCTATGACTGCTGGGAAAGATTTAAGGATCTTTTAAACTCTATTCAACATCTTGGATTTGAACTATGGTAATTAGTTAAGTTCTTATACGAAGGAATTACTCCTACACATCGCCAATTCATATACATGATATGTAATGCCAAATTTCTTAATAAGGATCTTAAGGAATCCTTAGATTATTTTGATAACTTGACAGAGGATGCTTGATCTTTGAATTTTTTTTTATTCTACCGAAAGATCAAAGTCATCTATTGCATCCCAACCTATTGGGGGTGAAAAGTATGTTTTACGGGACCAAGATGAATTACTTGCCAAGATTGCGTAATTATCCCACAAGGATGAAAATTTGGAAGTGAAAAAAGTGAATGAGGTGGCTAGTGTAATTAAGGTTGAGGGACGTGTTCCATACGTAAAATACTAGGGCATTCTACAAAGGAATGCCCGACTATCGTGGCTCTTAAAGACATGCCAACCAATGTCCTAAATTTCTCTGTCTCTGCATTCTAGGTGTTCTTCTTTGACTCAATCTTTTTTACATTGGGCTTGTCAATGCAAATACTATCTATTTTTGCATCGACACTCTTGCCGAAGCAAATACTTAATTTTTTTACTTCGACAAATAGTGCTGAAGTCAAAAATTGAATATTTGTTGCGGCATTTAGTCGATAAAAAAAATATTGACTCAAAAGTCTTGTTTTCTTGTAGTGCATTGCAATCCTTTGATGTCTTCAAACTGGCAAACTATCCATGTATCGAATGTTTTTATAATTTTATATTTTAAGTTTTTTGACCCACCAAATCCACATGATAAATGAGTCGACCAAAACAACATACTTCACCTGCAAATCATGCTGTAACATAGACAAATCAGATGTGCATACATCTAGTATAAAATAGGGGAGAAACCCCTAGGGGAGAGCGAGCTCTTAGCTCTTAGCTCTCTGTGGTACACTCAAACCCATTGGTATCACACACTCTTGATCCAAACTTATGTATAATGATCACCATACTAACTTAAACATCATAGTGTCATCTCTTGACACGGAATACTGGACCTGTAACCTTTTGTTTATTTCACATCTTATAGACTAGTTGATATTCGAAGATGATGGGCCGCATCCTAACATCATTTTTTGCTGGTTCATCTGGTAGACTCTTTCGGTGCAGCTTAATAGATGATCACTTCTATGGCTGTAAAATCAAGAAGATGCCCTGTTGGCATGGGATGACGATGATGAAGAGAAAGCAGGGGCTGAAACTCTGGAGGTGGAGAGAACATTGACATTACTGGAGGTTCTGCTACTTCCGCTAACAGACCGTTCTAGTGCTGCCTTTGGCGCCGGTGGTTCATCAATCTCAATGATCCCTTCTAACATCTGCACCACCTTTCCCATCATCGGCCTCTCAGACGATTGCTCTTGGGTACACCAAAAGCTTAGCCGAATTGATCTCATCACTTGCTCCATGTCCAGCTCATGTCTGAGAAGCCTTTGATCAACAATTGCCTCAAGATTACCTTTCTGATACTCTTGATAAGCCCACAGGGAAAGTTTTTCCCAATTTGCCTGTGCAGAAACTTCAGAATTCCGTCTCCCACTCACTATCTCCAACAGTACCATCCCATAACTGTACACATCAGATTTTGAAGTTATTGGAAGATCTGCGGGGCATTCTGGGGCAACATGTTCTCTAGTCCCCCTCACACTCCTCAAGGTTCCGCATTTATCGTCATTTGGGTTTGTGAGTTTTGCAAGTCCAAAATCAGAGACTTTAGCATTATAATTCTCATCCAAGAGAATGTTCTCTGGCTTTATACTTCCATGGATAATGCAGTCGCGACACTCCTCATGAAGGTACGCAATCCCCCTTGCAGTCCCTAGAGCAATATTAAAACGATATTGCCAATTCAGAACTTTTCCTGCCCACTCGTTCGACATAAAAATAAAGTTATAAAGAGAACCATTTTTCACAAGTTCATATACTAAAAACCTGTGATGCCGTTCAGAACAAAACCCGATCACTCTCACCAAATTCAAATGGTGGGTGCTAATTATGGTTGCAATAACCAATTTAAAATTTTTCTCCCCCAGCTCGATATCCTCCAATTGCTTCACTGCAGCAACATTTCCATTAGGAAGAATCCCTCTGTAAACAGCCCCATGTCCCCCCTCTCCAAGCTTGTCACAGAACCCCTTTGTTGCCCGTTGAATCTCCTTATATGAGAACTGGACGGGCGCACCAGAGGCATATTCAAGTGGTTCATATCGAGCAGAGAATCCCCCAAATGTGGGATTATTTCTACGGCACCACCACCACAAACCACCTTGCAACACGACCACGCCCAAAATGGTACCGATAACAGCAATTGGAAGTATCCGCCCACTCAATTTCCAACCATTGTCCTTTTCTATTCCAATTGAAGAGGCTGATGGATTCAGCATTCCCGGACTACAGACCTTTATATATGAAGTACTAGGAAGTGCGGGCGACTGGTACCCGCTAACAAAATCTGGCAGTTTCAAATAGCACATGTTTGTCCCATCAGAGAAAGAAGTTGAAGCAACACAAGAACCACCCGCAAGGCAATTGAACCTACAGGCAGACATACTAATGTACAAAAAAACCTGAGAAGCCACCTCTGGAGGGTATGTCAAGAACTTGACATGATCCAGTTGCAACATTGTCTCTCTCCCAGAACAACTGCTAATCTCCACCTTCCTCTTACATCCCTTCCTACTATCCTCCGGATCAACCCGATCAAAATTCTCTGATGGACACCCACAAATCGGATTTGAATCATTGTAACTACAGATCCCCATATTCCCACAGTAGCCAAAAACTTGACACTGGTCTCTAACAGCTACCCACCTCACAATTTGGGTTCCACTACCTCTAGCAGAACTATAAATTCTCAAATTCCCATCACTATCCAACTTCACAAACCTAAGCACATCACTCCCCTCAGCATAATCACTACTATAAGCCATAATCACCGGGCTGGAAAGGATAGAATCGAACAGAGACAACGTCCCTATAGATTGAATGCTCAAACTCGGTGAAGTAAAGTTTGTGTTCATCGATAAATTCAACAGAGAATTATAATACACAATAGAATCATTCCATGTAAGAGTTAAGTTTCCTGAGCTAAGAAGTCGAAATGAGTACGACCCAGATCGCAAAATGTGTTTCACAGTGAAGTTTTGAGTTGGGAGAAGAGTATCAGTGAGGTCGTTGAATGTGGACCAAACAGGAACTGTACCGTTTTTGAGGATGAAGTTACCTGAATCGTCGAGGATGGCGGAGGTGACTCCGAGGCCGGCAGTGTTGGACTGCCAGACGACGGAGTTGGTGGAGCCGTTGAGGAGCTGGAGGTTGCCGTTGGGTAGGAAGTGGAGTGTGGCGGTGGAGTCGGTGGCGCCACCAGGATCGCCACCGGCTTTCCAGATGGGTATGCCGTGGTAGGTGATGGCTAAGAATTGGGCGTTGGTAGTGAAGCTAAGAGAGAAGGTGTTGTTGGGGGAGGACCAGGATTGGTTTGGATTAGAGGCGGAGAGGGTGGCGCCAGGTAAAATGTCAGCTGCTAAGATGTTGGTGGTGAAGAGGAGAGAGATGAAAAGAAAGAGACACGCAGACGGTGGTTTCATGACTTCCATTCACTCTCTCCCTCTCTCTGCTCTTTTTCTCTGTATCCTTTTTTTTTTTTTTAACAGATCGTGCAATTGGCAGTTGGCTTGAGGCTGTGCCTGTAATGGAGTCGATTTTTCACTATTGGAGCAGAGAGAGATTGTCTCATTCAAATTCAACGTTAAACAGAGCAGAAAATTCTGTTCAAACAGTTTAAATGTTATACCTTGAAGAGTCAAAAGGTCTTCTTCCACAGTTTTCGCATGCAATTCAAATGTTTTGGAAAATTTCGCTCACACTTTTTAAAGTTTGTTATTTAATTATTTAGACTCCTAACCCTTAAAATATTACGCACAAATATTTTAACGTTAACAAGTACATAACACTTCTGACTCTTGTCATTAATGTCCGTTAGAATATTTGTGAAAAAATTATATTCAGACCTCTTAAAATTTATATGCATATAATATCTAGACCCCTTTAGTTTAAAAAGTTATACTTAAACAAAAAAATATTTCATTTAAAGATAAAATATTAAATATTTTAAATTTTTTAACTAAAATTCATAATAAATTATTTTTTGTCCAAATATAACATTATAAACTTAAAGAATTTAATGATTACATGTTTATAAACTACAGGACATCTGAGTATAATTTACTAATAATATTCTAAAGAACATTAGCAGCAAAGGTTCAAGTACTGCTTGTGTAATATTTTAAATGTCAAAAAATATAAATAATTAAATAACAAATTTCAGGAGTTCTGGATATAATTTTTTTTTTTTTTTTGGGTACAGGAAGTACAGCTGAGTATATAAATAATTTTTAAAATCAAATTTACTAGATCGAAAAATGTGATAGATTTACACTCAATTTCATTCCACGAATGGAAAGGAAGTCGATGAGATGACTGTATACCATTCGGATCCATTAAAATACGGAAAAGAAATTTTCTTCAAAACTACATTTACTTTTTATTTAATAAAATCGTGATATATATAATTTTTTTAATTTTATTATTATTTTGTTATTTTATTTATTTTATAACTAGCTTCTAACTACATATTGATCAAATTATTTATGATCATAAATCAATTCAATGTCATAACATAATTTTTTTTCTCATACTATATTTGGATACCCTTCACTCCAAAACATTATGCAGCGATGCTACAACAACAATTTTATCGTTGCCGTCGTCAATAGGTAGGTCACTCAGACCAAATCATTCAATCTTTGTCTATTATTATTAATTGTTTTACACCACACACTTAACTAATTTAATTGTGCATAGTCAACTTTGTTCATCGATCAACGCTAAAAGATATTCAATAAATTTGCTATTATGGAGAAGGCTGAAAAATTCATTTTTGATTTGATGGCTTGGTGGACACAAAGTCAAGATGGAGATTTATTATGAATACTTGTGATATTTGCATTCTCTCGGAATTTGTGGAGGAGATAGCTAGTTTGTTTATTTTTGTTTTGATTGTTTAATAGAATACAAGTCAAAGTCAAAGTGAAAATTTGTTGTGGGTGTCTAGAAAAATAATTTAAACTTTGTTCTCTTGAGAAATTTAAAAATGTGGATGTCTTAAAATTTCACTTCAAATAAAAGACTAATTAAAAACCTTGTTGTATTATAAGACAGTATTTTTGGTCTTTAAATATATTATAGACCACTCAGTTTTATTTTGAAATTTTTGGCCCTGAATTTTGGAGGATTTTGGCCCTCCGTTTTAGGCATCTATAGAGAATTTTATATAATCTCTTTTTGTTAATAATGAAACTTCACTGCTGCACTTCATCCGTGGAGTAGGCTTTCGAGCCACTATTTCGTTTCAAGTTTGTGGCCTTTGTTCGTAAATATATATATATATATATATAGAGAGAGAGAGAGAGAGAGAGAGAGAGAGAGAGTAATATACATTACAGCCTTGTTTGAAAAAGTTGTTGAGTTGTAGATTCTTAGATTATAAAACAGACAGAAGGGGACATGAAACCTAAATGCTGGCAAGTTGCTTAACATTGATGGGATACACTACAGCTTTGAGATTGGAAGCATAAGCCTTGGTTGCGAGCACAACATTCACAGCTTCTGTTGGATGCAACCCATCAAAGAATATATGAGTGCTCCTATTTGTACATGTTGACCCACCTTTTTTGCATAAAACTCCAGTCCCACCTTCCTCAATTGAAGCCACTTCACAACAAGGTGTGCTTGCATCTCCAAAATCTAACATTCACAATAGCTAAACATTCGGATATTTCCAATTTGTGAAGCTAACATTGTCAATACAATACAAATAGGGGAAGAAGGGAATTGGCTGTTGATGACAATACTTTGTTGTTAGACTTTCAACAAAAATTCTAGGGAGAATTACACTCAAACCCTGTAAAATTTGTCACTTAATCACTCAGACTCCCTAACATTTGAAATATTACACACATACACGAGGTTTGTACGTGCGTAACACTTAGGCCGCTGCCGTAAATATATCTATTAATAAATTACATTTAGACCTCCATAAAGTTTGTGGATATATAATATTTAGACCCCTAAATTTGAAATATTATACTTAGACAAAAAATACTATAATTAAATATCAAATATCAAATATTTTAAATTTTACAACAAAAATTCATATTTTATTGTATCATTTATTTAAATAAAATTAAAAATAAAAATATATTTTTTCTTAAAAAATCGTAATTAATATATAATTATATTATCTATTGGAATAAAACTAAAAAAATCAAACAAAAGACCTAAGTCATTCATAATAAAACATGAATTTTATATCTAAAATTCATGTTCTATTATTTTATTTATTAAAATAAAATTAAAAATATAAATATAATTTTTTTTAAAAATTATAGTTAGTATATAATTATACTATCTATTAAAATAAAATTAAAAAATTAAACAAGAGGTCAAACTATAATTGACACAATATCTTTTAGCTTTAATTTGAATAATTTGGTATTTAATTTGATTGTTTAAACGATCAAATTAAATTCTAATAGACAATATAATTGTAAATTAATTATGATTTTTAAGAAAAAAATTGAATTTTTATTTCAATAAATAATACAATAGAACATAAATTTTAATTGTAAAATTTAAATTTAAATATTTGATATTTTATCTTTTATTTAAATATTTTTAGTATAAATATAATATTTTAAATTTAAGGAATATAAATATTATATAGTTACAAACTTTAAGAGGGTATAAGTGTATTTATTAAATGATATATTTACATCAAGGTCCAAGAGTTACGCGCATACAAATTTCAAGAGTCTATATATAATATTTCAAATATCAAGGATTTAAATAATTAAATGACAAAAATATAATTCTCCCAAAATTATAACGATGACACATTGTCATTCCCCACACAATCTTTGTTTAGCTAATCTAACATTTTAAAAAAAAAAAAAACCTTTTGTGCAAGTAGACATTTAATCTAAGAATAAAATTATAAAAAGAGAAAAGCATTGTGGCACATTTAAGGCCGATTCGAGCCAGCCATGGGCTGTTTTGTACATAGGCCAGGCCCATCTGCCCTCCCACGACCCACCATGGTTTGTTCAGTGGTGGGTCGGTTAGGCCAGTCCCAACCTGTCCCGACCGGACCATAAACTTGAGAAATGTTTACCTTTGGAGTCTGGGTTTTTGATGATGTCCCTGATAACCTTGTATGAGTTAACATAAACGAGGTTGGAACCAGGCATTTCTGGCTTGATAATATCCACCAATGATTTCAAGTAGCCATTAAAGAGACTAACAGCTCGATTCACACTCTGTATGCAGCCCTTACGCATTGGCTGTCTGGCCATAACCATTGGACTGCACCCATTGGGGTTCACTGACATCAACACAAACCTCCGACCTCCCAAACTGTACAGCCTCTGGACGATCACAATGCACAAGACGAAGTAACAATTAATCATGTTTCGAAAATATTTCTGTAACGAAGCTAGAACAATTTAAGCTGCCTTTGTCAAACTAAATCATATTGTAAGGTGGCGTATTTTGTGTTTGTTACAATTTTCTTTTTGTTTGTGACCTTGAAGATATTTAGCTCCCTATAGGTCACAAATGGACGAATTGGGTTGGTTATGGGTTGAAAACAAAATAAATTCAATACATTTTCAACCTGATTAATAAATGAGTTATAATGAATTAGATCGTAACAGGTTATGTTAAATCTATTAACCCATAAAATAATTAAAATTCTTAATATAAACACATAATAATACACCAAATGAAACACACATTAATACACAACAACAAAATAAAACGCACACTAATACACCAAAAATATTCACGCACAAAAAACACAACACATTTAATAAAACATCAAAATATGCATACACATGCAATATTACACAAAAATACACACATATACATTAACACCTCAAAATACACATACATTAATACACCAATGTGTCCAGGGACCAGGTCAAGGTCGAGGTCAGGGTCGAAGTTGGATTAAAGTTTGGGTTTGAGGACTAGGGTCCTAGGTCAAGGTTGAGGTTTGGCTACAAGTCTAGGGTGTGGTCCAGGTAGAGCTAAGGTCGGTTTTGGGGCAGAGGTCAGGTCTGACTTTAGGGTCTTAGGACAAGGTCTGGCTCAGGTGCAAGTCTGGGTCGAGTCCTAGTCTAGGGTCGAGTCCGCAGGTCAAGGTTAGGTCCTAATCTAGGGTCAGATCCAAGTATAGATTGAAGTCATGTCTACGTCTAGGTTCAAGTCCGAGGTCGAGTTTTGGGCTTGAGTCCAGTCTGAACCCAAGTCCAGTGTATATGTGTGATTTAGTGTATTAGCATATGTATGGTGTGTATTTTTGGTGTATTAATATGTGTATGTGTATTTTACTGTACAAGTATACGTGTATATGTATTTGTTGATATATTAGTGTGGGTGTGTCTTAATGTATTAATGTGTGTGTGTACGTTTTAGTATACTAATATTTGTGTGTGTGTGTGTGTGTGTTTTAGTATATTAATGTGTGTATGTTTTGATGTACTAATTGTTTTGTGTGTGTGTATTTTGATGTACTAGTGTATTGTGTGTATATTTTTTGTGTGTATTAGTATATATGTGTGCATTTTTTTGTGTACTACTATGTGTATATTTTAGTGTATTAATGTGCTTGTGTATAGTTTTTAATGTTCCAGTGTTTATATTTTTGCGTATTTTAGTGTGTATTTGATTTTATTACTTTGTTATTTAACAGGAAGATAAATTCTCAACCTAATAAATATCTATTTATAATTCATCTTAACCTATTTAATTAAAATGAGTCATATTACACAACTTATTTAAGACCCGTATTAATTAATATAAATACACAATCCATTAATTTATAGACAAATTAATGAGTAATACATTAAGAATATCGTCTTTACTAGTGGCATAGGGGCGGGGACAGTTAAGCCGGATGCTCTATTAACCCCGTCCCCCACAAGTATGTCATTCTGTAGTGAGAGAGTATCTCAAAATGAATGTATTGTTTTGTTATGTGCAACAATACATCTATGCTCTGTTTGATAGTAAAAATAAAAAACAAGAAAGATAAAAAGTAGGGATATACTTTCTATCCTTCAAGAATGTAAAGTAAAAATTATATATTTTTTTCATTTGTGTTTGGTTGAATGAATGAAAAATAAAAAGTAACTAATTTTTCTTTTATTTTTTTTCGTGTTGGCTAAGATTAGGGTTGATAATCGAGTGGCGTGTCAAATTTGTGTTGAGTTATAAAATTACAAGTTTTTTATATTTCTTGTTCGCGTGTCAAGTCATTGTCAAGTTCGTGTCGAGTTATAATTAAGTTCACATCATAAAATTCGTGTTGATGTCGAGTCGTGTCATCGTGTTAAATTGAAAATTTTCACTCCTATTTAAGATGAAAAAAATATTTTTTTTTGAATTTAAAATTTATATATATATATATACATACATATTTTATCATTATATTTTTATATGAAATTAATATATATATAATATATAGATAAATAAGATACATCTCAACATAAATAATTAAATTTTCTTTCGATTTTAGAGGGATACATGTTGTATGACTCTCCCCTTCATGCAAGTACTTGAAAATCTATCGACCACAATGAGAGTAATAGGCCAACCAACGTGTATGTCAAGAAAACCTGGTTACCTTAGATTAAAGGCAAATGTACCCTAGTCCTTTAGGTCACGAGAATATTTTTTTTTTAATTATGTCATTTTTAAATATCTCTCTCGATACTATACCTAGGAAAGCTTTTAAATCTCTCTTAAACTATGCCTTATATCTAAATTTTCAATCAATAATATAATTTTTACCCATGAAAAAAGAGTTCACCTTTGTCCTTTTTTTTTTGTTTTTTTGGGGAGGGGGTAAGATAAGGTTGTTTGAATATATGAGATATAAAAGAAAGAGATAACTAACTGTAGTGTTCTTTCAGTAGGGTTAGGTTGGAAACTTTATATAAACTGAGCCAACTATAAATGAATCTGAGCATTGGAATTGAAAGCACACCTTTAGTTGGTGAGAGAGAGTGGTGGTCAAATTGGCTGTGAAAGTTTCGAGACTGACATTGCTGCTGGCTGCGCTCAGGAGGTAGTTGAATGAGTAATCGTTCCCTCCTGTTCCCACGACAAACAGGTACTCAGGAAGTGATTCTGTGCTTTTGCACCCCAGCTGTTCCTCTAAATCCACCAGTGTCACGTCTTCAAAGTTCCTGATTTGTTGACTCAAACTGATCACTTGGCCCTGAAATGAACATATAGTTTGCAATAGTTATTAGCTTAATCTGCCATATTCAAGTAGTTTTGCAAATTTTCAAAAAAAAAAAAAAAACTGGAGCTTGCAAGCATGGGCAGGGCAGGGCCGGGCCATCGGTATGAAAAAAAAATATGGATTTTAGCCCCTAAATTTTTAAAAAACCTCATAATTTGAAGTACATTATTGACCTACAAAATAAAATTAAATCTATTAAATTTTAAACCATACAAAAAACTCTAAAAAATTAAATTCAATTAAAATCTTTATCGCAATAATTTGAACTTATAATCTAATTCATAACATTAAAAAAAATAAATATTCAAAAATCAACTCATAGTTACTCCTACACACACTCTCTCTTCGGTAAAAAATAAAAACAAAAACAAAAGTTAAAATTAAACACTATCTCTTTTTCAACAATGTTAACACATTTTTCTTTTATCTCCCTTTCACATAAAAAATTTAAAATAAATTAATTTTTTTAAAAAAAGAATGATAAATAAAAAAACTTTCATTTAATATTTTTACTTTAAGCCTTAAGAATCCGGATTCGAGTTTGATGGCAGCCACTTCATATGAACTAAAGCGAAAGTTGAGTTTTTACCCTACCCTTTCTTTGTTGTTAGACCTCGCTTTTTAATATTGTGACTCTTTCATTGTTGTGCCTCACGAACTTTTTCAATATGGTCCGGATTGCTCGCTCCCTTTCTTAGTTTTGCTATCTAGCCCTCAGTGTCAAAAGATTTTTGTATGTGTATTACACACTACATGGCAGAATGGCATGCGCACCTACTGAATGTACGCCACATAACTCTCTCACATGATGTATAAAACATGACTTAACTTTATTACTACAGTTTTTCTTTTCTGTGTAAATGCTAGTCACGAGAAGTCCATTTCTATCATTCCTGCCCTCATTTGAATTATACTTCCAAGTGATAGTGGCTCTTCAGACATGCATAACAACTCAATAGACAGAGGAAATAACAGCCCACTACACGAGCTTTTGTCACTCCAAAGTTTAGAAAAGAGTCAATATACGTAGTCTTAAACCGTGTTTTGTGGCTATCTAGATCAATCTTACCCTTGTGCTAATGTTCACCCTATTACCAACAGTAAAAATAAAGAGAGAAAAAAGAAGGGAAGAAAACAGAGAGTAGAGGGCATCTACAACAATTTTTGCATAAAAAAAATAGCATATTTTCAATATTCCAAACTCACCATGATGGAGCAAAAGAAGAGAATAAGCAATCTTACCGCAATTGAGCCGGTATCGTCTAGTATTCCGGAAGCTCCAGATGCATAGTTAACTCCATGAACGATTCTGCTTCCCTTTGTTGAAGGATTAGTGAAAGCTGGAATGTAGTTAGGAAGCTGGAGTTGGTCACCGAGAAGGTCTATCACATTCTTGCCATTACTGAATCTACCAGAAGGACCAAGAGGGAAATCTATTCCATAAGGTAAGTAATCAGCCTTGGCCAGTGAGTTTTTAAGGAAGTTATTGTTGCCACTGTCAACCAGAGAGCTTCCAAACACAAACATCCCTCTAATGGTGGCTCCTCCTCCTGTTTCAGCCACCTTGCAGGAACAGTTGCATGGAAGAAGATAAGGTAAGAGAGAGAAGATTGAGAGCAAAAGACGGGGAGGTGTTTTTCTTGCCATTATGTTGGGGATCAGGTGGTGGCCTTTGGTATTGTTTCAAGAGGGAAGGATTGATATGTACAAAAGTGGGTTGGGTTGTTCCTCTTTTATAGAGGAGTAATGCTATTGCCCCTAAACATTTGATCTTATTTTTCCTATACTATGAGAGCCGATTCGGCCTTTGTCCGGTTACAGTTAAACTATGAATTACGGATATTTTGTCGAGATCCCTGTATTCGGATCGAATATTGTATCAGATAAGATATTCGTCGAATACTTGATGATACATATCGGATACGCATATGTATTCGATAATTAATAAAATAAGTGGATACTTCATAGATACTTCGTGAATAATTTAAAACATGGAGCAAGATGTATAATTTTCAATTTTAAGTTATACCTCTTCTTTAAAATTCACATACAATATAAAATATCAATAAAATTTTGTCTGAAGACACGAATGTTTTTTAAGTATTAAATATTATTATATGTTAAGAGAATATAAAAAAAATAAGTCACTTACATTATACTTTTAAAAATAAATACTTGTAAAACTAATTAGTTAAATGTTGTTATGATTCCTTTAATTTGTCATGCTCATTTAATGAACATATAATAATAAAACGATATTACATCATTTTCATAGTAAAAATTTCTAATTATACTTACTAATGTTAAAAAATTATTAAAAAATTATAATTTTTAAGTCGTTAAATAATAGTAAAATATAAAATATATTTTATTATAGACATATTATAGTCATACCCATATCCTATTTTTTTAAGTTTTATCGTATCGTCATATCCATATCATATATTCATATCCGTACTGCTTAACGGGTAAATCACATGGATTTTCCTTTCCTTTTGCTTTTTTTTGGCAAACACCTATTCTAATACATGCACAGAACAAATCAGCGAAAAGATATTTGTTGATTTGAGACAAAATCTTTTGACTATATTTTCTTCTTGATTTGAAGTTATAACATGCAATGTCAAAGTATAACATCACTAATTAATACGATATGAACATAATATAAAATTAAAAAATTTATATTTTTTTAAATACGAGTGAATTTGATATGATATGATTAATAAACTAATTAAATATGAGTAAAAATAATCAAAAGAAATATACTATAGGATTCGTTTATATACTAGTTATATATTATTTATGCACAATATTAACCTATTATGACATAATTCGTTAGACACTAATTAATAAAAAAATTAAATATAAATAAAATATTTTTTAATATAAATTCACTAACACTTGACACAAACTCACCTCACCCACCATAATAATCGGCCATATAGCACGTGCCGACACCCATGTTTTTTTGGCTTTTGTATTTCATCAAACGAAACAGGGTTACTCATAACGTGGGACCTACGTGAATTAAATTGCACACCCATGCTGCTATTTTTTGAGAGAATTATTATTAAATCTTTTGAAGTTTGTCACTTAATCACTCAAATTTCTTGACATTTAAAATATTACAGACAAACCCTAAAATTTGCAAGCTCGTAATACTTAAATATCTGTCGTCATGTCTGTTATTAAATCCGTTAGTAAATTATACTCAAATCCCCTGAAATTTATAGACATATAATACTTAGATCTTTCAAATTTAAAATATTATATTTAGACTAAAAATACTTTAATCAAATATAGAATATCAAATATTTTAAATTTTACAATCAAAATTCATGTTCTATTGTATTATTATTAAAATAAAATTAAAAATAAATTTCAATTTCTTCTTAAAAAAATTGTAATTAATATACAATCTATTGGAATAAAATAAATGGTCTAAGTTATTCATAATAGAACATGAATTTTACAATCAAAATTCACATTCTATTATGTCATTTATTGAAATAAAATCAAAAATAAAAATCTAATTTTTCATAAAAAAATTATAATTAGTATTTGGCATAAAACTAAAAAATTGTATAATAATTATAATTTTTTAAGAAAAAATTAGATTTTTATTTTTGATTTTATTTCAATAAATGTCATAATAGAACATGAATTTTAATCATAAAATTTAAAATATTTGATATTCTATCTTTAATTGAAATATTTTTTATCCAAGTATAACATTTTAAACTTGAGATGTGTAAATATTACATACTTACAAATTTTAGAGGATCTGGATATAATTTAACAGTGAATATACTAACATGGAGTTTACAAATCTCAAGTGGTTTGTGTGTTATATTTTAAATGTCAAAGAGTTTGTAATTAAGAAACAAATTTCAAAAAAATCTGAGTGTAATTCTCCAATTATTTTATGTACATACTGATATCAGGTAACGTACTTGGAGTAGTTAGTGATGGGTTGGTTGTCTTTTGTTAAAAAATAGCACGTAAAGTTATGTCTCAAAATGTTTTATAAGGATTTTTATTTCACTTGTATGGGCCTCTATTATAAAATAAAACACCTTGGCAGTTAGGCTCCATGCACAAATTTGATAGACATTGAGGACTCACCACCCCCACCCCCACCCCCACCCCCACCCCATACTTATTGTCATCCACCGCTCCCAAACGAAATGACGAAATTGATTGCCAGACTTTAAATTTAAAATAGAACACCTTGGCAGTTGGGCTCCATGCACATAATTGATGGACATTGAGGACTCACCACCTACCACCCCATACCTATAGTCATCCAGTCATGTCAACAATGTCAACTACTTCCAGATTTTCCTTTCTTTCCTCCCAATTTGACGATTATCCTCATCCAGCGACACAAATGTCACTAATTTTGTGGCACTTCGTCTCTCTTCGACCAATTTCCTCTTATGGAAAACACCGAAGCTCAATATCCTTGAGAGTTATTATTTCTAAGGGTTCATTGATGGTGAAATCATGCCATTATCATAGGTTATTACCGATGGCGAGTCTAATCTGCAACCAACCTCAGTATTTGTCAAGTGGCAAAGATTTGACCGTCTTGCTAAAGGCTCTTAGAAGCGATAATTACTTTTTCATCTTTCTTTTTCGATGTGATGTGAGTGTAAAAAGAAAATAGAACTATTCTATTACTATATTACTATAAGAATAAATGTTGAATAAATGATATTTCCCATTGACAGCTATGAACTCATGGTTACCGAGAAATAAGCGATTGTTTCATAAGTAAATGTGGCACTGCTGGTATTGTATTAGAAGTAGTTGTTTCCATTAAAAGAACTGTCTTCAAAGCGAATTTCACCACCACTTTGCCCGAAGAAGTCCTCGACATTGTTGTCGGACTTAATACCGCATTTGAAGAATGGACTGCATTGGTGCATGCCTTTGCTCGAGTCTCTTCTGATCGAACTCTTGCCCTCAAACAGCAGCTCATAACTATGGCAAGAGGGACTGATACCTTGGCAACTTATTTGCATCGTTTTAAGTCCGTTTCTGATGACTTAGCTGCCATCGGAAAGTCGTTGCCGACCACAAAATATTGTGGTGGCTCCTTAATGGTCTTGGAAAGGACTATGAGATAGTCAACACCATGTCCTCCCATTCTGCCGTATTCCGAAGTTGTAACATTGTTGGAGAGTTATGCTGATTGCCTTCACTTCGATGCTCCTCCAGCCCCACAAATGGCATTCTATATTCAACGGTTTTCTTCTCAGTCTAACAAAAACAAGAAGAACCATGGTGCACATTCAACCAAAGGGAATCAAACAGCTTTCACATCCAAAGGATGCAAGTTTACCCAATGTTGCAATACTCAAAAGGGAAATGCTATATGGATTTTAGAGGACCTTATTTAAGAACTTAATGATGTACAACAATTGGATTGGTTATGAGTTTTATCTAACATTAAAACTCACAACTAATCTGATAATTGCATTAAAGTTATATCATTAACTACCTTGAGAGTACTCTTGTTGTCGCTCTCTCCTACCTACAACTTTATCAATAAAGTTCTCCGACCGCTATCGCCATCTTGAAAGTGGAGTAGGCCACTCTAACCGAACCATTATACATTTATATGTTGTTTGTGTTGATCTCTCCTTTATATTTAATGCATTTACTACTTATATTCATTATTCGACAGGTAATACATAAATCTGCTATAGACAAAAAAGGCGGCGTCAAGGGTGCTAGGCGCGACGTCGAGCCCTGCCTGGGCGGCTCTTGGATTGAGATCGACGCCAGAGATGGCTCGGAGATTGATGTTGAGGGTGCAGGTGAAGCTGGAGAGAGTTTGGACAGCGCAACGGCGGCGAGCGATGCCTGCGGTTGCCTGGGTAGCATCAGGGGCACAACGTACGAGTCGGTCTGGCTGGAGCTAAATCTAATGGCAGTATATTGGACATTGTTGGAGTTGGAGAGACTACCGTGAAGAACTAGGAATCCTTATCTATCCAGACACTCACTCATGCCCTCAACCCCCTTTTGTTGCAATCGGGGCATGGGGGGCAAATGATAAGCCCAGATTTAGTTGTGTCAGCCCCAATTAATTAAGCTCAAATCAGTTAAAAAGCAGGTCAAGCCCAATTCATGAATTCGGCCCAGACCAAGATTCAAGGGATCCAAGAATATTAGTGCACGTGGAAGTAATTACTAGAATAGCTACCCTCTAAGATCAAAACTATCTCTAATTGTATATATTCTAGTTGTAGTTATCCTCTCTTATAAGCTAGTAACCTACCTATCACGTCATTGCCTCAACTAAGACTTTATGCCTATAAATTGTAAGTCCTCACTATGAGAGGGGCATCTCTTTACACACCTTACACAGTTATCTCTCTCATAGTTATCTTAAGTCTTGATCTTGCTCTCGCTCTCTTCTACCTACAATTTTATCAATAAAGTTTTTCGATCACCGTCGCCGTCTTAAAAATAAATTAGGTCACCTTAACAGAACCACGCTATATCTGTGTGTTGTTTGTGTTAATATAATATTTGTCTCTTTCATTAATTGTTTTATTGATTGTTTCTTTAATTATTCTAAATCATACACTCGACTGTTAGTTGTGCATAAATTTATTTTATGCATCATCATAGTCCTTTCCCATTATCTGTGACTGGTGCCTTGGGCCCTCCCATTAGTATTCTTCTTATAATGACCTTAATGC